ACGTGTGCGAATGTCGCGAGTGCAGTAGTGCAAATTCTTCATTTAATACAGTTCAGCTGAGTCATTTATTTTGTTGTAGATTTAGGATTAGACAATTAGGATTTGGTTTATAAGGTTTCTGTGTGTGTGTATGCTTTGTCTGATCCTGAATCCAAAACAGAATGCACACAATCCTTACAAACATAATTCTCAAATACCTAAACCGTACAAACCTTATGACTAACTCATTAAAATTATGGGAATCAAAGTGGTTATAGGAGAGAAGAAGAAATACTCCAGTTTATACATAACTGCATAGCTGATAAACCTGACTTTGGAAATAAAAAATTAGAGAAAAGCTGATAGAAAGATGGCAATAATGGGAACACAGAAGAAAAAAAAAACGAGACGAGGGAGAAGAGAGCAATAACAGCCTGGGCAAGTGTTAGGCCCTTTCACCCGGGTCTCTGAAGCCGGCCAAGATAAGCGAACTTGACAGTAATGGCTGAATTTTCGGCCACGTGACCCGGAACTTCCTGGACGTCGCCCCTGACTTTTAATGACATCATCAATGGTTGTACATGTGACATCATGAAGAGACCATAATGAGATCATGAAAGCGCCTATATGCCTGGAGAAAAGCCCTGGCCAAACGACGTTAATGACACCCCAGAATCAAGGACATGTGCTTCTCGTGTGGGGATTCCACTTGTCTTTCTTTTAGTTTAAAGAGTTTAAAACCCCGAAATTATTTTCAGTTTCCGGATTTGCTGCTGACTTCACATCAAAAGCATTATTTCATATACTGGCACTATTTTTGGTAACCGTCTCGCAAACAGTTCTTTTTTCAAAACAATGTTTTCCCCGTTGTAAATTTAAATACGAATTTTGCATATGAAGACAATGAAAGGAGTCCCTGAATAGATCAAGGCTGTCAAAAATCAGTTTCACATTTGTTCCGGGGTATTCTGGTGTAAAGGGCAATGAACGAGCTGACAGACTTGCAAGTGACGCTCCGGTGGGAAACGGGCGAGCAATGGACACGGCTGATATACTAAATGCCCTCATAGAGGCAGTTCGACTGAAGAAATCAAGAAATGATTGTGAATCTGCAACACTAATGAGACTTCACGGACATTGTATTAAAAGGGGTGAAGCCAGACAAGAGCGCTACACAGGAGCCTAAAAAAGAATAGTAAATCAACAAAGAACTGATGGCATGAGCCATAACACGCCGATGGAGCTACTGAATAGGGGATCTGAGCATTTATGGACTGAATGTTTTGATGTTCGATGATGATAATTTATTTACTAACTATAACTAAGTTAAAAAGGTAAAGGTAAAGTCGGGAGATGTGAACCAGCGTCATTGCACATAGTTATAAACCATAAGTGCTCTGCCAAGAGTACGGACAGCTAATAACTAAATTACTAAATTTAAAAAGTGAGGACACAGACAATACATTGCACAGTTTGAAAGCAATATTTCGCTGTATCTTGTCATGTACATTACTACAGAGTTAAATTATTAAATAATGACAGACAAAATGAATCATTTTCTTGATTAAATGCATAAGCCACACTGTCGAGTTGCTGTATATCTACTCACCCGAAATTCAAAATCAGTCACATGATCACAATGGTAACTTCAAATTGATCTCGTGATCTTTCTGTTTACATAACATACAAGAGTAGTGTTTTACTGATACAGCTTCGATCACTTTTAGCAAACATCTATTTTGTGTGCCTCTTTTTTATTTTTACGCACGCAAGCACACACACACACACAAACACACACACACATACACACTATATATATATATATATATATATATATATATATATATATATATATATATATATATATATATATAATATGTGTGTGTTTGTATATTTAATTGTCATGTTTGCAAACACAATCTTTAGAATGAAGCATCAGTAAGAACGACCGGATTAAAACTTGGTGAGGCCTGAAGTTCAAGGCCAGATTAAAAAGACTTGGTGATGCAGATGAAAACGTTGAGGCCCTATGGTATATAAAGCTAGGGGACCCCTATTATTTTAAATTACACTAGCTAATCTCAGAAAACTTCAAAATATCTACGTCTTAAAAATATACGGATGATAGCAATATACTGTCGTTATTTTCATTACAAGAAATAATGAAGAATAGGTCCGCTAAAAGCATATAAATTGTACTATATAATCCTCTTAAAGGCTATATTGCAAGAAATTGCGTTTGTGAAAAAAAAAATATATACATTTTTATAGGCCCCTTCAGACTGTGAATCCAACACTGCCTAAGCTATGTAAAGCCCTTAGGCCCTTTCGTTACACCAGTCAATCTATAAAACACTTTCAATTATATAAGTTAACAGGGGTGGAAATTAAAAAAACCAGGCTGATTATTTTATTCAATTTAAATAACCTACAACAAGTTAAAATAAATAAAACCTCTGATAAAATACCCTAAATAATATTAATACAACTGAAAAGCATAAAGGCATTATTTTGTTTGTTATGGGGGGGGGGGGGGGGGTGTAAAGATATCAAAAGACAACCGCATTTGTGGGGAGGGGAGGGGAATAAGAATTCTATTAGGCCCCTGAAGAGTGTGGCGCCCAAACCTGTATCTTAGTTAACCAATGCCTAAATACGGTACAGACCACATGCGGATAAACAAATGAGTTAACGATTCGCCATTTTCAACAATAAAATCTCATGTGTATGAGATTTGTACGCAGTACTCCTGTCCTGGGATCAGAAAGGAAAGTCACAGACAATCCAGGAAGCATTATTTTGAATATAAGCCAATTCTGGAACTCAAATATGCATGCAGTGTCCATATCCCCGGTAGGGCACAGACAAGCAATCGGGGATTTCGATTGGACTTTGCTACCGGAAAAAAAATAAGAGAAAGAGCAAGAGGACGAAGACGACAACGAAAAGAAAGAAAGAAAGAAAGAAAGAAAAGAAGAAGAAGAAGAAGAAGAAGAAGAAGAAGAAGAAGAAGAAGAAGAAGAAGAAGAAGAAGAAGAAGAAGAAGAAGAAGAAGAAGAAGAAGAAGAAGAAGAAGAAGAAGAAGAAGAAGAAGAAGAAGAAGAAGAAGAAGAAGAAGAAGAAGAAGAAGAAGAAGAAGAAGAAGAAGAAGAAGAAGAAGAAAAAGAAAAGTAAGGAGAAGAAGAAGAAGAAGAAAAAGAAGAAGAAGAAGAAGAAGAAGAAGAAGAAGAAGAAGAAGAAGAAGAAGAAGAAGAAGAAGAAGAAGAAGAAGAAGAAGAAGAAGAAGAAGAAGAAGAAGAAGAAAAAGAAGAAGAAGAAGAAAAAGAAAAAGAAGAAAAAGAATTACACGATGACTTGTCTCAAACAAATGTTCTCCTACCAAAGTGCATTCAACTCTCCTAAAACACAGACACATGCCATTTCAAATCACCATGTTATTAGCTAGTCGCTGGCCTAGACTTTTGTCATGTTTGGCTCCTAGGTCGACCCAGGTCTAAATGGGTACCAGGCACAGTCATGGGATGTAAAGGCGGACACAAGATGTTGACCACATCACCACTGAATCCCTGTTGGTCTGTAAAATATAGGTCTCGTCTATGTGCTCAATACGCCCGAAAGTTTTTTTTTTTTTTTTTAATACGTGTGTACGCACACACACGCGCACACGAATTCATCTTTAATTATATGTCTATTTACATGTACAAATTGACGAATGTCGGAAACGAGAAATCAGCGAATATTTTAAAATGATAAAGATAAAATTAGAGAGACAAATAAGAAGTGAAGCCAGGGGGAAGACGAAATAAAGAAATGCGTCACGAGCAGTGAATCTCCTTAGTCCAAATTGAAAAAAGTGGGGGGGAGACGGCTGAAGAGTATCTCAGATTAACTCGAGAGCTGAGGCACAGGAAAGCCGGTCTGCCAATCTTATTCGCTAATGGGCTGCATTTAATATAGGAAGGAACTGAGCTTAAAAATGGGAGTAGGGAGTAATGAAGTATAGGAAAGACAGAAAGGGAAATACAGAAAGAATAGAGTGGATGCAATAAAAGAGAGCGAAATTAAAAGATTCTATACGGAAGATGATTTGTGAAGAGGACAGTAAGAAGTGCGGGGACAGAGAAGGAAAGGAGAAATAAGGATAGGAAAGTGCGAAATTTCTCTTTAAAAAAAAAAAAAATTAGTTACAAAAATGAATACAACATAAAACTACACATCAAAGACAGCATAAGAGCGTCTATATCTACAAGAACTATTAGACACGACATTTTAGACAAGATATTCACAAGGACAAAATAATAACATCAACAAGTCAGCACAGCTAAATTTACTCCTGAACAATTCCTGTTTTGTTTTCAAACAATGTTAACCTTTTCTAACTAAAACATTTGCATTTACGCACCGTTTTTATTACTTGAACATGCAACAACATTTTAGAGGTAGTCACGTCTGCCTACATGTGAATACGAACAAAATCCACCATGTGAGGAGAAGACATCTACTGCAGACGGGAAAGATCCGCGGGAGAAGAAAGAAGACAGAAAGAAACGACGATGGAGAGTCTAAGAAGCTACAGCTACGATCCCTAGAACCTTGAGAACCGACCGGTGCATTTGTGATACGAACACACAACCTTGAGAACGCGAGATCCTCAGGGAGAGAAAGAGAAACCATAGTGTATTCTTTTTTAAAGTAACAATGTAAAAGGCTAAATCAGGGGTTGTCAACCTATAGGTCGCGACCCTTTTTTGTGTGGGTCGAACGACCCTTTCACAGGGTCGCCAAAGACCTTCGCAAAACAAATAATAATTGGAGTTATGAAGTAGCGACGAAAATAATTGTATGGTTGGGGGTAGCCACAAGAGCAACTGTATTAAGGTATCGTCACAAAATGAGGAACTGTATTAAAAGGTCGCGGCATTAGGAAGTTTGAGAACCACTGGGCTGCATGAAATAGCTGTACACGAAGACAAAACAACAGATGTAACAACAAAGATGGAGAATGACACTGCGCAACTTACCAGTTGTTGACCTGTAGTATAGTAAGTCCAGTGTCTTGAGCCAGCTGTTTTTTCTGCTCCTCTGAAGGGTACGGATGCTGGGAAGATAGATAAAACAAACATTATCTTTACAAGCCATCGTGCCACAAATTAAAACCGTTTGAAAACATGATAAAAGATTACTTAGACAGCACCAAGGAAACTAAGAAAAGATGCTCGAAAATATAAACGAACGTTTCGACCAAAGTTTTTACCAAGAAATAATAATCGTCAGTGATGTTTTAACTTCAATACAGATTAGTCATCCTATAACTGTCCCGTTTCTGTACTAGTCTTCTTCTTCTTCTTCTTCTTCTTCTTCTTCTTCTTCTTCTTCTTCTTCTTCTTCTTCTTCTTCTTCTTCTTCTTCTTCTTCTTCTTCTTCTTCTTTTCTTCTTCTTCTTTTCTTCTTCTTCTTTTCTTCTTCTTCTTCTTCTTCTTCTTCTTCTTCTTCTTCTTCTTCTTCTTCTTCTTCTTCTTCTTCTTCTTCTTCTTTTCTTCTTCTTCTTCTTCTTCTTCTTCTTCTTCTTCTTCTTCTTCTTCTTCTTCTTCTTCTTCTTCTTCTTCTTCTTCTTCTTCTTCTTCTTCTTCTTCTTTCACCGGCTGTAAGATTCAGCGGAAAGTCCCGGTTATTTGTCCATTTAGACTTTGTCTTTATGCAAGTGCCTATGTTTTGCATGTACATCTGTTTTACTGGCTTATTTGCGTGCAGTTGGTTGTTCCATGTCGCTCGAGCAGATGCCTTCCAACTTTAAAAAAGCTCCAAGTTACTCCTAAGACATGCTTGCTGAAGAGGCAGTGGATCTATTCTTGGTTCCCCCCCCCCCCCCAATGGGGCCCCGGAACCCACACGGGGACCTGTGCCACTGAATGTTACACAAACTATCTGTACTGTAAACAACGTGCCAACCGCTATTTTAAGAGCGAGTCCACATTAAGATATTTTTGTTGGTTAATTCATGGCATGAATTCAGCTCAGATGCTGTCGCACTATTTTGCTTCTACGTGACAATTCACTTATTAAATGGTAATATTGATAGTCATTGAAAAACAAGTAAAGAAATTATAACATACAATTGCAAAGCTTCAGCATCTTTAAGAGCCTGAACCAAATATTTAACTCACAATTATATAATTTTCAAACCATGTTACGTATTTTTACTTGTAATGCTATTCAATTTTAACCTATGCAAGTGAAGGATATAGATTCACTAACTTAGCGGTTCTCAACCTATGGGTCGCGGTCCTTTTGGAGGTCGAAGGACCCTATCATAGGGGTCACCTAAAAGGATCGGAAAACACATATTCACTGAAGCTACGAGTACTAAGTAGCAACGAAAATACTTTCATGGTGGAGGGTCGCCACAACACGAGGAACTGTATTAAAGGGTCGCGGTATAGGAAGGTTAAGAACCACTGCACTAAATATATGGAAACAAAGTTAAATGAACTCGAAAACAAATACACGACGAAAATGATGAACTTGAAATGGGATAAGTTCAAAAGGAGCGAAGAAGTTAGAGAAATGTCTAAGAACAACTAGTATCAATAGTTATAAGCCGAACGATGAAGCTATACATTCTGAGAAGATACAGATAGAGAATCGCTAAAACAATCATTCCCTGTGTGTGTGTGCGCGCGCGCGTATGTGTCGTTCAACCACACATGGATTGTACAACGAGAAAGAACACCGGGTGACACAAAGTGCCACCATTCGGTTGAGGATCACCTGAGCACAAGTCCAAGAAACCTTGTTTAACCGTTAGGTCATCCTGAAATTGGAAGTTGAGGGACTTAGGAAACGAGCACTTCCTTGACAACCCTAACGCTGAAGTGTGTGAGAGACGCTAAAGGTGCTGGATTGGATTCCATCCAAGGATCGAAGTAATTGTAAATGACAAAACAATGGAGGAATACACTGCAAATCATGTGTGATACACAAAGGCACAAAGGGACAATGGCTGGATGAATGTCTTATTATCTTTCTAAATAGTATAACTGTTGAACAGTCTGCAGTCATCACTGTTGGGCTGCCCGGAACCAAACGTAGAAATATCCTAGTTACAGACAGCATCAACCTCGCACCAAGCCTGACACCAGAGAAGGCTGAAGTGACAAACGACCACTGTGGCACTGCTGTAAGTCGTGTCAACTGAGAACCTTGATGATGCGGGTCTGCGTGAGACACGTTTTGACAAGCAGACTGGGAAATTTTGGGATATATCTTCTAAATAAGACCCCTGATTGCTGCGTCATTACGGAAAACCCCCTCCAGAACCCACATGGTTTAGGCCAATTTTCCAGAAAAGCCGCCAGAGTTACAGAACAATTTGTCGACAAAGTGACACATTTTCCGTATCAACCCAGGCGGGTAAAAAATAAACAAAAATGGACCGTTTCCGGGATAAGGACACATTTAGGAGACCAGGCACGCTGCGAGGGGTCCCGACTATCATTGTAGATACTTCCCCAACATTACCCTGGTGGATTCCTTAAATACCGGCCAATGATGATTAGGTAAATGTCAGTAACAAGAGCCAGCAGATTCCAGTTTTTGTTTCCTAGACAACTGACGAGATAATGTGCATGTGATTTGTGAGTCTACATTAAGCCGGTCTGGAAACTTAACTGCAGAATGTAAAACCACGTTTACAAAACGCTTATTATTTCACATTACTTTTAGTCTATCGCCAAATGTGTTCATAATTATCGGTCAGTCTTATTTTGTTTTCGTCAGATTTAGATAAACTTTGACTGCTTTAGTTCACCATGAAAAGTTGACAGTGTCTTCTTCTTCTTTGTCTTCTTCTTCTTCTTTTTCTTCTTTTTCTTCTTTTTCTTTTTCTTCTTCTTCTTCTTCTTCTTCTTCTTCTTCTTCTTCTTCTTCTTCTTCTTCTTCTTCTTCTTCTTCTTCCTCCTCCTTCTCGTCTTCTTCTTCTTCTTCCTCCTTCTCGTCTTCTTCTTCTTCTTCTTCTTATTCTTCTTCTTCTTCTTCTTCTTCTTCTTCTTCTTCTTTTTCTTCTTCTTCTTCTTCTTCTTCTTCTTCTTCTTCTTCTTCTTCTTCTTCTTCTTCTTCTTCTTCTTCTTCTTTTCTTCTTCTTCTTGTGTTGTTGTTGTTCTTCTTCTTCTTCTTCTTCTTCTTCTTCTTCTTCTTCTTCTTCTTCTTCTTCTTCTTCTTCTTCTTCTTCTTCTTCTTCTTCTTCTTCTTGTTCTTCTTCTTCTTGTTCTTCTTCTTCTTCTTCTTCTTCTTCTTCTTCTTCTTCTTCTTCTTCTTCTTCTTCTTCTTCTTTCTTCTCTTCTTCTTGTTCTTGTTCTTGTTGTTGTTGTTTTTGTTCTTCTTCTTCTTCTTCTTCTTCTTCTTCTTCTTCTTCTTCTTCTTCTTCTTCTTCTTCTTCTTCTTCTTCTTCTTCTTCTTCTTGTTGTTGTTCTTGTTGTTGTTCTTCTTCTTCTTCTTCTTCTTCTTCTTCTTCTTCTTCTTCTTCTTCTTCTTCTTCTTCTTCTTCTTCTGCTGCTGCTGCTTCTACGCCTTCTGCGTTCATCCGAAAATGTAAAGGCATTGTTTCCGTCAAACCATTCTTCTTCTTTATTTGTTCACCAGCTGTAAGCTCCAGCGGAAAGTCCTGGTTGTTCGTCCATTTTGACTTTGGCTGTGTGCTAGGGTCTGAGTTTTGTGTATACATCTTGCTTACTGGCTTATTTGTGTGCAGTTGGTTGTTCCTTGCTGCTTGGGCAGATGCACTCCGACTATAAAGGTGGTCCCCAATTAGTTGACTCCTACGACAATCGTTATGGGGAGGCAGTGGTACTATTCTTATTGTTTCCACAATGAGGCCCGGGAACCCATAAGGAAGTGCCCGTTTACAGTAAGGCTGCGATATTTGCACCTTTCGGCCGAGACACCCGACTTCTCCAGGCATTTGTTTAGCCTTTCCGGTAAGTGACAGTTTTGTGGAGGATTATACGAAGAGAATAAAACAAGAAGAAGAAAAGTCAGGGCTGTTCGTCCACTTCTTGACCTTAGTTTTAGCGCACATGCCTCTTTTATTGATCTAGCTTTTGAACGTGCAGATTGTTGGTTCTTCGCCTTTTAGACAGTTACACTCCGACCATTGTAGGCCATTTTCCACGCCTTTAGGCGTATTGGGAATATAGGGAATATAGGGCCATACCTATACTTTTAATGACCAAACCACACTTGGTGGGTGATGTGGTCAGCGACCAGAACTACTAACCCATATGCACGTAATATTCACACATCCATATTTTAATTACAGCATTTGAACACTCGTACACTACTTATCATTTCTACTCCATTCTTCAGCCTAACACTATCAATCTGAATAGATTTTCAAATCCTGAACTCTCAACAAAAGCAGTTAACGAAGAAGAACCAACAAAAGCGGGCAATCACTGTAAAACAACCAACAAAAGCGGACATTCAACAAAGAAAACCCAACAAAAGAGGACAATCAACGCAGGTAACTTAACAAAAGAAAATAACGACAATCAAAATTTGATCTTCACGTCATAATCTATTACCAGTTAGAGAATTCCTTTAGAAAACAAATATGAAGAAGACAAAATTACGTGCTTTATGAAAGTCAATCGCTGTCAGGTTTAATTTAAGAAAGTAAACTTTCTATTTTAGCTATATAATTTAGACTGTCTGCATACAGGAACCTAAGTCTGCCCGTATTAGGTAAAACGCAACTCAATGGTATCTGGGAACCTGGTTAGGCGAAATAAGCTGCCAGACGGAGGGCAAAGGTCGGCCTTATTAACTGGTTTGTGGTGGAAGATATGAAAAGGTCACAGCGCCGTTTAGCAGACGAGACCAAGATTACCCAGCTCTTGTGTAGGGTGTGGGAGATAGCTAGGGATGGAGCAAGGCCCATTTTTCAATAGATCTCGACTGTTGCTTTAGTTTGAATGCAGCTTACGTGTGGTCGCATAGATTTTCAATGGTATGTATATTTGTGGGGTGGGGGGGGGGGGGGGGGGGCATGAGGAAATGAACAGTTATCCAATGGCGTGTGTTTATTAGATGACGAGAAAGCCC